GTAGCGAGCTGCCTCTCCTCGGGGCAGGGGCCTGAGCTGCTGTGGCTGCAGGCAAGGGCTGCGTGCTCTCCTTTATGTGATCCCTTTGCTCCTTCCCTTTGCCCCTTCCCCTCGCTGCCCGCTGCGTGTGCAGACTCGCCCCAGGACCTCGATGGCAGCAGAGCTGAGCTGGTGATGTGCTGGGGGAGGCTCTGCCTCCCAGAGTCACCCCCTTTTACCTTGAACTGTTGTCAGGTGGTGACCGCAGCGCCGCAGCGCTTCCAGGTGGAAATCCTCCCCGTGGACAATGGGACACCCAGGGTTGTCACCAACGTGGGCCTGCAGTGGCTGGAGTACACGGATGGCAAGGTAGCACCTGCCTGGCCTCGGCCTGGGCTGCTTCTCAGGCTGCTCCAGGACAAGGGGCTCCTCCGGAAAACATCCTCATCCTTCAGCACTTCTGGTTTTGTGAGGGAGTATGCCCACCCCAGGGCACATTTTTAGCTTTGCTGATGGTGGAGATGGCTTGATGATGTGCTGTAGCAGCCATGGCAGAGATATGTGGCTTTCCAGGGATATGGTGCAGGAATTTCTTGTTGTGACGTGCCTTTGTTGTGCTGAAATCCAAACAGAACCCCAGGAAACTCTTGGCTTGTTTTTGAGGAGCCAGTATTAACTGTAAAGAAACACTTTGATTCCTCCCAGAAAAAAAAAAAAGAGTGAAAGATGCTGCAGTAAGAAATTGTATTAAGAAATGGCTATCTCAGCTCAAACTCCTCACTTCAGGAAAAGCACTCCTGCAGCCCCAAGCAGCTCAATTTTCTCTCTTTCTCCTGCTGTTAAAAACATTTTGTTTTTGAAGAGGAAGCAAAATGTGGTGGAACTGAATCAAGTCCCTGTGAGGGCATTTGAAAGAGGCTCTCATGGAGACTCAGCAGAGCTGTGTGAACAGTCTTGAGTGAATCCTTCAATCTGAGGCTGTTTGCAGATTTGTGTTTTTACCAAGCAAGGCCTCACCTGAGCATCAGCACAGCTCATGGAATAGAGGTGTCTAAGAGAAACCCAAAGATTTGTCCTAGCTTTTAGCTCCGGCTAAATCAGGCTGGGCAGCTGCTTTGGAATTTGCTTTTCTCTGAGCTGCATTTGTCTTTTAAATTCAGGTAACCAGATGTGAGGCAAAATTTGAATCCTTCTTGTGTTGTCAAACACGTTGTGGGATATCTCTGTTCAAGGCTGCTCTGTACTTGCACTTCCCTAGATCTTCCCTCATGGAGAGCTGTTTTGACAGAGGGATGGTTGGGCTTTTTGTGTGAACAGTCAATCAGACTTGCACTGCTGGAGCCTCAGTTTTACTCCCTTGATTTGGCTTTAATCCAGGCCACCAATCTCATCACTAAGAAGGAATTACTGACGACAGATCCTGACACAGGTGACAAACAGCTGATCTATGAGATTACAACTGGTCCCAGGAATGGTCATGTGGAGAACAAGCTGAAGCCTGAGACAGCTGTGACCACCTTTACACAGGGTATGGAGCTGGGCTGTGCCCTGCTGCTTTTTTCCCCATCAGTTGATTCAGTTTGTTAAAATAAGAAAAAAAAAAAAGGTGGGAGGGAAGAAAGCCAAGGGGCAGCATGTTGAAAACAAGCATTGAACTTTGCTGTCAGTTGCAGAAATCCTGCAATTTCTTAGAGACAACAACCTATGTCCTGTAGGCTGTCCCAGGTTCTCCAGGCTTGTTAGAGCTGGAGATGTGACTTGGGGCAGTAAAGAGGGGTTGCAGATCTTGCAGGTGCATCTGATCATCACAGTCTGGCAGAGGTGCAGCCGTGCAGAGCCAGCACTGTGGGGAAGCTCACTCTCGCAGGGCTGAGGGGTAACTGCTTCCTTTGCCCCTGGGATCCCCAGTGCCAGCAGATCCACACTGCTCATCCACAAAGCTGCCTTTGCATTCCTGTGTTGGCTCACTGGCTGTTCTCTCCTGGCAGAGGATGTGAACCAGGGCCTCATTCGGTACGTGATGCACGAGGAGAAGGTTCAGGAGACCACGGACAGCTTCCAGTTCCTGGTGAAGGACGGCAAGCCCAACGTGGTCAGCGGCAACGTCTTCCACATCCAGTGGTCCCTCCTCAGCTTTACTCACTCCAGGTAAGTGCCATGAGGGTCACAGCGCTTGCCTGGCAGCTGGGCTCTTACCTGAGCTCCCTACAGCGTGGGAAGGAAATCCTTCCAGTGAGGAGAGGGCCCTGCCAGGCTGAACCACGGAGCAGCTGCCCGGTTATTTCCCTGCCTCGGATTTTCCAGGGAGCCTCACCCTCAGCATCACACCAACACGCAGGGTGTGCTCCCCAGCCCGTTCCTCATGTGCGCTTGATCCCTTTCCAGCTACGAGGTCAGGGAGAGCGCCGGCTCCGTGAGCGTCCCCGTGAGGCGGCTGGGGAACCTCAACCAGTACAGCATCGTCCTGTGCCGCACCGAGCAGGGCACGGCCGCCGCCGCACCGGGAGCGCGGCCCGGAGAGCGGGACTACGCGGAGTACGCGGGGCAGGTGGGCGGCAGCAGCAAGGGACGGGCTCACCGTGCCTGCCACCGAGCCCGGAGCAAAGAATGGGCGGGAGGTGACCAAAACGCCAAGGAGGGTGTGTTCTGTTAGCAAGGTCAGGCGGGTTGTTTGCTGTTGGAAGAGGGAGCACCTCAGGGCAGGGTGAGTCAGGAAGGACGGGGAGCTCCAGGTGGCACTCCAAGGACAGCAGTCATCTTGCTGCCCTGTAGGTGCAGTTTGAGGAGAGGGAGGACACCAAGGCCTGCACCATCGCCATCCACGACGACGATGTGTTCGAGGGCACGGAGAGCTTTTCCGTGGAGCTCAGCATGCCGGCCTTCGCCCTGCTGGGCAACGTCACCCGCGCCACCGTCACCATCGCCGACCCCGAGGACGAGCCCACGCTGCAGTTCGACAGGAGCACCTTCCACGTCAGCGAGAGCGCCGGCTTCCTCTCGGCTCCTGTGCAGAGGAAAGGTGGGTTGGGCCGTGCTGAGCCCCGTGGGAGGGACGCGTGCAGAGGGGGAACCCTTGGCCTTTGTCCGCTTATGGTTTTGGAGCCTTCTCCCATGTTTTGGAAGAGGTTCTGGAGCACAATGCAATGGCAAGCAATGCACGGGGCAGCGTTGTTTATTTTTTTAACCTTTCCTGTCTCTGCTGTTAAAGCCTCTTGGGTTTGGATTTGTTCCAGCTCCCAGCATGAGCAGGAGCAAACCTTTGTATTTGTTTGCTGCTTCTCTGTGAGCTAGGCAGTGCTTTATGTGGAGCCTGTCAGTGTCTGTGTGTTCTTTAACAGGCAAGTGCCACCTCTCGGCTTCCTGAGTGGGGTTTAGGAGCTTGCCTGGAAGTCACGTCTAAGCCAGCCGCTATCCAAGTTCAGCATTTCATTCCTCATCCTCTTTTCCAAATGCTGCTTTATTATTTAAGTGAAAGGTGTCTCCACCAAGTAGATTTAAAGTATTTCCACTAAGGAGTTTTCCTGTTGCTTCCTAGGGGATGCCAGCAGCACTGTGTCTGCCATCTGCTACACCGTCCCCAAATCAGCCAGGGGCAGCAGCCTTTACATGCTGGAATCCGGCTCCGACTTCAAGTCCCGGGGGCTGTCGGACGAGAGCCGCCTCGTGTTGGGCCCGGGGGTCACCGTGGTGACCTGCGATGTCACTCTGATCGATGACAGCGAGTATGAAGAGGAGGAGGAGTTTGAGGTGGTGCTGGCCGACGCCTCGGACAACGCGCGCCTTGGCAGCCGGGCTTCGGCCAGCGTGGTCATCGCTGGTCCCAACGATGCCTCCACGGTGTCCCTGGGGAACGCCACCTTTACTGTCAGCGAGGCTGCAGGTGAGGAGCAGAGGGCTGTGTTGGGACGCTCCCTGTAGAAGCTTTCACCATGAAGAGGTGTCAGAAGGAGTGATTGGGGGCACAGCAGAACTGCAAGGATGTGCTGCAGCGGGGCTCTGTGCTTCCCTCTGTGCCGAGGGGGAGGCTGGGGCAGGAGCAGTGCTGAAGGGAAAGGGGTGGGCTTGTGGGACGTGGCTGCTCTCTCAGTTTGCTCTCTGTCACGTGCACCTGGTGCTGCAGGACACATTGAGATCCCCGTGCTGCGGCAGGGAGCCGACCTCTCCGCGCCCGCATCGGTGTGGTGTGCCACCCGCGCATCGGAGCCGCCCTCGGCCAGCCCGGGAGTCGACTATGTGCCCAGCTCCAGGAAAATAGAGTTCAGGCCAGGCAGGACAGAAGAGGTGAGGAGCTACTTGGACTCCTGCTGAGTCTGCTTTGCCTGGCAACACCTGTCTTGTGTTTCTGTGCCTATCTGCCACTTGTTTTGAAAATCCTCTCAGGGCCACTTGAGAACTGTTAATGATTCTGCTAGGCACAGATTCCCCATGCCATCAGCACTCCAGCCTGGAGAGATTTGGTCATGCCACCTCTTCCGGGGCAAGGCTCGCTGCCTGTTCTCTGAAATGATAGGCTGAGTTTGTGTGGAACGGTCTTTACATTGATTAGTGGACTCAGAAAACATAATTACATAATGGCTTTACACTAGACTCCCAAATGTGAGTGCTGGGAAGGATGAAAGCTTTGTATGTCTAACAGCAGGAATTCCACTTTCCTCCCAGTTCTGCCCCCTGACAATCCTGGATGATGCCCAGTACCCAGTGATAGAAGGGCTGGAGACATTTGTTGTTTACCTCAGCTCCCCCCACGGAGCCGAGCTGGCAAAGCCCTTCCAAGCCATCGTGGCCATCAATGACATCTTCCAGGACGGTAAGTCATCCCTGGCACCTGTGACCGCTCCCTCCCGGCCCCTTGGCTCCCTGTGCATACCCAGCCCTGCTCGGCTCCGTTTCTGCCGCCCTGCAGTGCCCAGCATGCAGTTCAGCAAGGACAGCTACACGGCCGGGGAGAAGGAGGGCACCCTGCACATCCCCATCTGGCGCGCGGGGGACCTGAGCTACGAGTCCTCCGTCAGGTGCTACACCCGGAGCCTGACGGCGCAGGTCATGGAGGACTTCACCGAGAGGAGGGATGCGGAGGAGTCTCGCGTCACCTTCCTCAAAGGGGAGAAGGTGAGCTGCACCTGCCTCCTGGGGGAGTGAAGAGCCAGTGCTGGGAGAGGTTCACACCTCCTCCTCGGCCCTCAGAGGGGCTGGCAGACTGCTCCGGGCTGGTTTCAGATAGAAATTCTTGTCCTGGCAATGTGACCCACTCTGAAGGGGTTGGGTGTTCCAGGATGGAACTGGTGAAATTGTGAAATGCAAATCTGATGCATCAGGAGGACCCAGGATTGTTGTACAGAGAGCTGTGGGTTTGTGGAAGGAGATGCTTTTGCTTCTGTGTCTCATTGTGTGACAGTGTGGTTGGTCCACACTGAAGGAGCAGCCCTAAACATGGAAGGGTTTCTTCCAGGATGGACAGCACTCCAATGTGCAGCCCTAAAAATGGAAGGGTTTCTTCCAGGATGGACAGCTCCAATGTGCAGCCCTAGATAGGGAAGTACACCCTGGCCTTTATGTGGCTTTATCAGAGTTTGCTGCTTTCTCCTCTTCACTTGGCTTTAGGTGAAGAACTGCAGTGTTCACATCAGTGACGACTCTGCCTTCGAACCAGAAGAGCAGTTCCAGGTCTATCTGGGGAGCCCCCTTGGAAACCACTGGAGTGGAGCTAGGATTGGGAAGATGGATGTGGCAACCATAACTGTCACCAACGACGAGGATGGTGAGTGAGGCTGCTCAGCAAAGGTGTCTGGGGGGTCCTGGGGAGTCAGCACAGCCCCATCAGTGTGGATGCCTTCGGTGCCACGGTCACGGCCTTGTGTACAGGTCACTGCTGTGCACGGGGCTGGACTGAAGGGAGAGGCTGGACAGGAGTGCTTGGACCCCCCGCCTCTCCTGTTTCCCATTCCCCTGCAGCTGGAGTTGCTGTGCTTCCCTTGGGAGATGTTCCTCTCCCTCCACAGCAGCACAGCCTGGAGAGATCTGTGGGGGAGAAGAGGGATGCCAGGCTGGATGACCAGCACATGGCAGGGGTTTGGGGATGTGTGGGAGGCAGGGATGGGAGAATCATTTGCCATTCTCTGTAGCCCAGCACCCTCCCTAGGTTTTACCCTACGTCACACCCAAGCCTTTGTGGCCCCCGCTTTGAGGAGCTCCTTGCCCTGAAGGTGCGGGGATGAGCCTGAAAGGTGCCCGGGTGCAAATCCGAGGCTTTTCCCTCCGCGCTGTGCCCGCAGCCCCCACCATCGAGTTCGAGGAGGCGGCGTACCAGGTGCGGGAGCCGGCGGGCCCCGAGGGCGTGGCGGTGCTGAGCGTGCCGGTGCTGCGCAGGGGCGACCGCAACCGCACCTCCCGCGTGCGCTGCAGCACCCGCGACGGCTCCGCGCAGGCCGGCGTGGACTACTACCCCAAGAGCCGCGTGCTCAAGTTCAGCCCAGGTAAAGGGGCCCCGAGGGGAGGGTTAGAGGTGGGAAAAGCCACTTGTCGCAGGAATTTTAGCTGATGTGTTAAGCGAAGGGTGATGGGACCAGAGGAAGGAGCACTGGCACCTGGCAGGGTGAAGTCCTCCTCGGGGAATGTAGGGCTGTGAGCACCTCAGACCATGTTGCTGGACCCTCACTAAACAGCTCTGCACACCTGAGGGAGAGGAGGGATGGCAATGTGCTTTGCATCCCAGGTGTTTCCTCCAGACAGCTAATAGAAGACAGTCATTATTAATCCTCAGTCGGCATCTGCTAGTAAATCTATCACCGGATCGATCGGATCGCTTGTCATAGCTGGAGTTTTATGTTGATAATAGACTCCTCTGGGTAAATTATTAGCAGCAATGAGTGGAAATGAAATTCATAATGTGTATTTTATCATAATGTCTCTGTGGTCACAGCCCGGAGCAGCTGTGCGGGGCTCGGACGAGAACGTGAGAGCAGTCTCTGGTGATGAATCAACTTCCCTCTGTTTCTCCTGCACTCGCTCCCCCAGGTGTGGCCCACATCATGTTCAAGGTGGAGATCATGTCCAACGAGGACCGGGAATGGCACGAGTCCTTTTCTCTGGTGCTGGGCCCAGATGATCCAGTGGAAGCAGTCCTGGGAGACATCAGCACTGCCACAGTGACTATTTTGGATCAGGAGGCAGCAGGGAGCCTGATTCTCCCAGCACCTCCTGTGGTGAGTGGATGTGATTTAGTGCCCCGCAAGTACAGACTGGAAACCGCAGTGGGATTTTGGAAATAAAAAGCAGAGCTGCAGTGACAACGTGGGAGGGAAGGATGCATTTTCCACCCTCTCCCTCAGCCCCTCTTGCCTCCACACAGGTTGTCACCCTGGCCGACTACGACCGCGTGGAAGAAGTGACCAAGGAGGGCGCTAGGAAATCGCCCTCCCCAGGCTACCCCCTGGTCTGTGTGACTCCCTGTGACCCTCACTTCCCCAAGTACGCCCTGATGAGAGAGCGCTGTGCTGAGGCTGGCATCAACCAGTCCTCCATCCAGTTCAGCTGGGAAGTGGCCGCCCCCACGGACGGCAACGGGGCCCGCTCGCCTTTCGAGACCATCACGGACAGCACGCCCTTCACCAGCGTCAACCACAGGGTGCGCAGACATTCCAGACTAAAGGCTCCTTGGATCTGAGGCCTGGGGCTTTGGCTTTAGAAAACTGAGTGCCGTTTTCCCTTAGCCTGCTGGAAGCACCAGTGGTTTCCCCCTCCTCATTCCCTCAGGTGCTGGACAGCATCTACTTCAGCCGGCGGTTCCACGTGCGCTGCGTGGCCAAGGCTGTGGACAGGGCCGGCCACGTGGGGACGCCCCTGAGGAGCAGCGCGGTCACCATAGGCACAGACAGTGCCATCTGCCACACGCCCGTGGTGGCGGGCACGGCCCGAGGCTTCCAGGCACAGTCCTTCATTGCCACGCTCAAGTACCTGGATGTGAAGCACAAGGAGCATCCCAACAGGTAGGAGGCTGAAGAAAGGGGAGTGCAGCCCTTGCCCAGCCCCCCTGGGCTCACAAGCACGATGTGTGTGTGAAACCACATCCCTCAGGCAGCGTGGGCTGCTCGGGTTCCTGCTCCCACTCTCGTCCCACAGCCTGCCCAGCTGAGGGGTGCTGGGGGAACTCAGCTTAAGGCTGTGCTGCTGTGGGGACCCTGTGCCTGCCAGGCTCTGTTCTGCTGTCTGACGTGCTGCTTGTTCCAGGATCCACATCTCGGTGCAGATCCCCCACCAGGACGGGATGCTGCCCCTCATCTCCACGCTGCCGCTGCACAACCTGCACTTCCTGCTCTCCGAGTCCATCTACAGGCACCAGCACGTCTGCTCCAACCTGGTCACTGCCAGTGACCTCAGAGGCATCTCAGGTAACCTTCAAAGCTTCCTGAAGGTGGAAGCCTGGAAAGAAGTCAGAGAAAGGGTCTGTGTCTTCCTGTGGGCTCTCTTGGCGTGATGTAAATAGCAATGAATCTTCCTGGTCTCACAGCAGTGACCAGAGTTGCCCATTGGAGATGGGATTCCAGGCATGGGAACATTTGGGGTTGTAGGTTCATGTTGTGCTAGTGGTTTTCTGCTTTTTAAATCATTTTTGTGATATCCTCCTGGTTAGGGAGGGATCTGCAGGGCTGGATCACTGTGTCTGGGTCACTGAGGTCTCCCATGAGGCAATAAAGTCAATTCACTGCTGAAAAAAATGTCAGAGCTGAAAAGAACAGGCAGATTTTGTCTCTGACACTCCAGGGAATGAAGTCCACGCTAGATCCAGGCAGGATCTTGTACTTTGTTCTGATAATTCCACACTCAACCCATTCCTCATTCCTTAAAGGTTAACTTCAGCCCTGAATCAGTCGGTCCCTAAGTTGGATTATTAGGATGCTTGCCCCATTCCTGTGACAGTTTCCCCTGAGTGTGTCCTCCAGGATGAGGAAGGCAGAGGAGCTCAGGCGGCTCAGGAGTGAAGCGAGCAGGTGGCCGGGGCAGCTGAAGGCCGGGAGGGTCACTGTCGGGGTGTGTGTCCCCAGAGGCAGGGTTCCTGGCC